AAATTAAATTAAATTAAATTAAAAACTACATAGCAAATAATTCTATTGACATGAAATTCAAAATCACTAAGCAATTAGGTAACAATATTCTCTCTCTTACCCTAGGTGATAGTTACACAGGTGCTGGATTTGCAAAACTACATTCACTGATCTACCTTTTGTATTATCTACCATGATATATTTGTACAGTAAGGCTTTAAAAAATCATAAATTGAAACACTATCCTTCTCCCTTTATTTAACTTCATTACTCTCCTCTCCTTCCAGAAGCTGAATTCCTTGATTAAGTTGTTTGTAACTGTCATCTATACTCTATCTCTCATTCACCCCAAATCCATCTCAAAATGGTTTCTGCCCCAACACTCCACCCAAGTGACTTCTGCTGTGGTCACCAATAATCTCCAAGTTGTTGAATGCAATGTATGTTTTTTAAGCCCATCTTGCTAGACTATTTAGCAGCTATAACCAACGTTCACCATTTTCTCCTTAAAATATTTTCCTTTGGTATTCCAGGTACAACCTTCTCCTAGTTTTCCTCCTATCATTCTAATCATTCCATGACCATTTCCTGCACTGGCTCATCCCTTTCCTCCTACTCTTTAGATACTGGAGTTGTTCAAAGCTAACTCCTAGACTGTTCTCACAGTACAGCCTACCATGGGTCTCATTCCATCCACTGCTTCTCTTAGTATCTGCTAGTGACTTCCTCAACATAGGTTTTTGGAGGTCTCAGTAGAAGATCAAATTCCACTCAAAGGGAGCGCCTGGGTGGCTCAGTTGGTTAAGCGACTGCCTTCGGCTCAGGTCATGATCCTGGAGTCCCGGGATCGAGTCCCACATCAGGCTCCCTGCTCAGCAGGGAGTCTGCTTCTCCCTCTGATCCTCCTCCCTCTCATGCTCTCTGTCTCTCATTCTTTCTCTCTCAAAAAAAAAAAAAAAAATCTTAAAAATTCCACTCAAAGATCATGATTTCCTCCACAAACCTGATCTTCCTCCACAAACCTGATCTTCCTCCAAGGTTCTCTATTTTGGTGAATAGCATGATTATCTAACCAGTTGGCAAAGTTGGGAATCACCTTCTTCCTTTCCTCTAACAATAAATCTATCAGTAATCTATCACCTGTGTCTTTCTAAACAGCTCTCTTCTTACACCACCACTACGCTGTCCATTATAACATCGACTCTAAAAGCATAAAATGGCTTCCTGCATCCACCATTACCCCCAAACTCCATACAAAAGAGTGTTTTAAAAAATATAAATAATGGCATATCTCCTCACCTCCATCCTCTATTATTAGTGACTTCCTGTTACTCAAATATAAAGATCAAAATGTTCAACATAGCCTGTAATCAGGAATTTTTTAATACTTTACTTTTCTAATACTTTTCTTTTGACAGGAATTCACTGGCATAAAGTTAATAAATAATACATGATTCTATATCCAGGAAAATTCAGAATTATAAACTTATTTTCCAAGGGCATAATTCTCTTTCTACCTAGCATTTACGTGGTCTTTTGTAGTTTTCAATGTGCTTTGGTATACAGATCAGCTAATCTGACATACAACAATCCTGTTTTATGTGCAGAGCAGGAGCCAATTTCATTTTATCATTGACAAGAACAAGTTAGGTATAATGTACTCAAAGCTGAAGAGAAATCTCAGGATTCTTGACACTCAATCTAGTCATCTTTCTACTACAGCTACCATCTTGATCACAGGTTGTTACTTTTAGAAGGGCTCAAATGCCACATATAAAACCCTGCGGTCATTATATGAACAAAATCTCCTTTCTCTTATTTTAGATTCTGCTTAGTCACTTGTACTATTTTTCATTCTCTAGATGGTGCTACAGCAGACTTCATCACTCTGGAATGAAACTCCTAATTTTGTAAAAATTGTAGGTTATTCTTCAAAACTGTTATAGCTTTAAGTAATCACTATTCTTTGACTTTTCTTTATATCCTCTCTTATACCATCACTAGTTTTTCAATCCAGAACTGTTCTTTATCTTCCTTACTGGTTTCTTTTTTCTTATTTCCCCCCTAAATATGGACTTTACAGTCTTTCCTATAGAGACATGTAGCATTCCTTTATGGTTTTAGTCAACTACAACATTCTCCTTTTATTCACCCATCCTCCAAAACCTTGTCCACTCCTCCGTATACTCTCCCTCCTTAGAAAAATGTTTGCAATTGGGGGCGGAGGCCCACTGGGTTTTCTGCTCACCTAAAAAAATCGAGGTATGAAGTGAAATTAGAT